AGGCAGGTTCAGCAGAACGGGTCCCTGCAGACCCCCCTGGTGGTTTATGTAAGAGACCACAGACATGTTGTCTGACCGGACAAGAACATGATGATCTCTGAGGTCTGGGAGAAAGTGTTTCAGAGCCTGAAACACCGCCATCATCTCTAGACAATTTATATGCCATCGGAGATGATGGTCTTGCCACAACCCGCGGGCCGAGCGACCACTCATGATCGCTCCCCAGCCCGTGAGAGAGGCATCCGTCGTCACCGATACCCGGCGACACGGGGCTCCCAGCGCAGGTCCCAGGGACAGGAACCAAGGTTCTTTCCACATAGCCAGGGCACGGAGACCACGTCGCGTGACCTTGATCTTGCGGAGCGGCTTTCCCCTCGGGGAGAACCCCTTGGTCCTGAGCCACCACTGTAGTGGTCTCATGTACAGCAGGCCGCACGGTAACACGTTGGATGCTGCTGCCATCAGACCCAGAATTCTCTGGAATTCCTTTACAGTGAGTGACTGGCCTAGCTTCACTTGCTTGACAGTCGAGATAATCGAGGCTATACAAGCCGGCGACAGACGCGCCTGCATCGTCGTCGAATCCCATACCACGCCTAGAAAAGTGGTCCGCTGAACTGGCGAAAGCACACTCTTCTTAGCGTTGAGTCTCAACCCCAACCTTCTGATGTGGGCGAGGACGGCATCTCGATGCCGAATCGCCTGATGCTCCGATTGAGCCAGAATCAACCAATCGTCGATGTAATTTAAAATGCGAATGCCCTGGAGACGCAGCGGGCCAAGGCCGCGTCCATGCATTTCGTGAAGATTCGAGGAGATAACGCTAGGCCGAATGGAAGGACCCGATATTGGTACGCTTCGCCCCAAAAAGCGAACCTCAGGAACTTCCGATGTTGCGGAAGGATGGAGATATGGAAGTACGCGTCTTTTTTTAGGTCTATCGTGACAAACCAGTCCTCGGACCTGATCTGTGACACGATCTGCTTGAGAGTCAGCATTTAGAACTTGAGCTTCCCTATTGACCGATTTAAGAGGCGCAGGTCTAAAATCGGACGCAGCCGCCCATCCTTCTTTGGAACAATGAAGTACCGGCTGTAATACCCCAGCTCTCTGTCGGGAGGAAGAACTCGTTCTATCGCCCCCTTCAGTAGCAGAGCTTTCACTTCTTGTTCCATAACCAGAGCCTGCTCGGGGGTCACCACTGTGGGCAAAACCCCCCGGAAACGAGGTGGACGCGACCTGAACTGGATCGCGTACCCGCGTTCGATAGTCTGCAGGACCCAACGAGATATATTTGGAAGACTTCCCCATTCTACCAGAAATTCTACTAAGGGTACCAGTCTCTCGAGACTGGCCTCTGGAGTAGTTTTTAAAAACAGAAACAGCGCCCTGTGACCGCGCACAGGCAGGGTTTAACGACCGTTCTGTATCGCTCCTCGGAGCAAACGAGCGTCCCTCGGGAAATCGCTCGCTGGGACCGTCTGCACCCCCCATTACAGGCAGGGTTGGCAGAACGAACCCCTGAGGGCACCGAGAGAGAGCGGGCGCCGGATTCAGCGGCGAACACCTCTGTCTCACGGTGGGGACCACCCTCAGTAGCCTGACACCAGTGGCGTCAGGACTTCTTCGACGAAGCCTTCCTGGCGACAATAACCGTCCTCAGATCGGTTCTATCCCGGGAAGACCTCGTCTGAGAACGCCGCGTCTCAGCCCAGTTTTGCTGGGGAGGAGCCCGAGACGCGACGCTCTCTCGACGGGCGGGGCTGCTCTCGCCCAGCAGCCCCCGAAGGATGAGTACGGAGGGGGAGACATTTCTGGAGCGGCGCATCCAGGAGAAACGCTTTATCTTTCTCCTTCATATTAGCCAGATTTAGCCACAGATGCCTCTCCGTGGCCACCAGGGCTGCCATAGAGCGGCCGACTGATCTGGCCGTCTCCTTGGTGGCACGGAGAGAAATATCTGCCGCCTGACGCAGTATCTCATTAATCACGTCAGTGCCGACGACCTCCCCCTCACTCATATCTCCTAGACCCAGCAATATTAGCATACATAGAGGTCTGGTGTGTCAAAATTCTAGCTGACACTGGTTTGTTCCACGATCTACACACCTCGGTGTGTAGATCGGGGAAGAAGCAAACACCGGCATGGAGGTAGTGAGTGTGATAATAAAAATCTCTCATCCATTTTACTCTCTCGACTCTTGTTTCTCAACTGGCCATTCAATGGTTAATTTTTCCACAGCCCGAGTCAAAAACCTCCATTTTTTTTTTTTTTTTTTTTATTTTATTTTTTATTTTTTCCTTTTATTTTATTTTATTTTTTTTTTTTACTACATTCGCGGGAGACTGGGATGGCAAACGAGCTTCCCTCGCTCTCCACTGAGTCCATAGACTCTGCATCCACACTTTCAACATCCAGCTCCTCAGAACTGGATAATTGAAGTGATGGCGCCTCAGCCCGGGCAGGAAAACCGCAACGCGGACCCCCGCAGCGAGAACTGAGGCACTGGATCTACCAGGTAAGGGCAGAGAAAGGGCGGGGCCCGTCTCAATCCCCGCTGATAGATCCATCTGCGATCCCCACGACGCAAGCCTTCGCTGTGCCTCGGCAGCAGCGGGACCCGAGCCGCGGGGAGCGCGCACCGAACCACTCTCCTCGAAGAGTGCCCGGCGGGAGCGAAGTGTCTTCATGGGCAGACACTCGCAGTGCTCACAGCCGGCCCCCTCGAGAGCCGACTGAGCATGCTGCACTCCCAAACAAACAACACACAGATCGTGTGTATCCCGACCCGTGATGAAGCGAGGGCAGGGATGAACACACTTTCTGAAATTCTGCTGTTGTTTGCTCGCCATATCAATATATATAAATATACAATATTAGACAGACAGACAAAATTCATACATAGAGCGCTTGTGAAGACTCAGAAGCTGTTGCGCTTGTGTTTCGGGGATGCTTTATAGTTTCCTGGTCGATACGTCACCCCGCCTATGACGTTCCGTCTCGCCATTGGACAGATTTCATACGTGCTTCATGACTCGTCACGCAGAGGCGTTCCCCCACGGCGTTTACACGCAGCTCGAAGTTCCCTGAATGGGAACCCTTTTTACCATTTTATGTAAGATCCCGTAACCCTAATCCCAAACCTAAACATAACTACACTGTAAACGATTTCTGTTGTTTTCACAGGATTATACAGTTTTTGTCAACAGTTTCTTACTGTATAATCTATGTACAGTAAGTTACAGTAGAATTTAGTTGTTTTCACAGTATTATTTTGTTTTTTCAACAATTATGTACTGTGCACACAGTTGACAGTATGTTACTGTAGAATTTCAATGCATT